AGTAGCAGTAACAAATTACAGACTAAACAAAGGCCTAGCACTAATATCAGATGCACTACGATGCTCAAATAAAAGACTTACATGCTAAAGAGCAGGTTAGGATTATCCTTGCTATAGACAGAGACAAAGCCATTCTCCCACTCCAAAGTAGTGATGCTCCGAGGAAGACGGTTCTTCATGTCCCAGAAGACACTTCTACCAAGATTGACTGAAAGACACAACATCAACATCTAATGCATAAAATGATAGTCAATCGGACTATATATATAAAAAAGAAGAACATACCATCATGTTTCATCAGCCTCATCCTTGCATCTCGTGGCCAGCACTTCTTATTGTTGTATCCCACCATGTTTTCATTGTTGGGATCAGGATGCTCCGTAAGATATCGCTGAATAAGATCTCGAGCCTCTTCATGGGAAAACTTAAACATTATATGAACTTTGTCTATATATCGAGAATAGAGTCTTATGGGATGGCGTGTCTCCACTTTTGTATCCCAAAACGTCATAAACTCGTTAGGCATCTGAGGTGGCCCAGCAATTTCACTCGCTCGAGTCAAACCAAGAAGCAAAAGATCAAGCAATAGTCCATAAAATTGAACAACAAACGATGCAAACTGAAGTCCCCTAATGAGACCATACGCATTAGTATGACTCATATCCTTGTAAGACAGGACCACATTATTCTTGGCAGACACATAGTCTGCAATATTGTGGTCAAGAACCAAACGAAGAAGCCTGAAAGAAACAACACAAAACACTTATTACTCCAGAAAGTTGTGGCTCAATGTCTATAATCAATAAAGTATTAATGAGATAGGTACCTGTTCAACATTGTCAAATCGATCTTCTCAAAGAACTTTTCGAACTTAGTTTGGAGCATCACCACACACTGCCCATCACCTGTGTCCCATATGCCTTGCAAATTGTTGATACCTTGACACCACTTGTAAACCAGAAGTGGGGGCGGCTCTGAGTCTGCTGGCTTAATCCAGTTTGGAAACAAGTGGCGCTTGTCACCTTCGTACCACAAGTATTGATCAAGATATGCATCGGTAATTTTCTCTAGAGGCTCTATTTCATAAACTGGAATCAAGTAGCTATATAGATCCATAAACTCTATGCCAACCTGCAAAAATAAAACGTTTTCACCATCACTTTACTGCGGTAACCTTGAAGACCTATGTCAATCCATTGCTCCAATATAGAGTGAAATATCAAGTTACCTCTTTAAAGCCACGTTGGGTGAGAAGATGACGTTTTATTCGTGATAGAGCTTCATGAGGATTGTCATAAGCTTGTTCAATTAGACCAAGCTCTTCTCGCTGCTGCTGGTTCAACCTCACAGCTACACTATATGATTCCTTCAGTCTCTCAAGGGCAAGGATGAGCAACTTTGTGTCATGTTTGTATGACAATGGAGGAAATGGAATTGGAGAAAACTTCCTTGACTCCAGCCAATGAACAGTAGTTGTATAAATTGCAAGTGCTTCTTCCGGAGTGACATACGGACCATCTTTCAGGTAATTGTGCTGTCGTTCCTGTAACAGTTTTACAAAGATAACGCATCAATATATAACGCCATTTCATAAAATGTTGTTCAAGCAAAAATGAGAAAGTCATTAAGACAATGAACAGACCTGTTCTGCCTTTAGCCAAAGACGAGTCAACCTTCCGAGATTCTTTCTACAAACGGTCTTATCAACAGTAGCCCCTCTTCGGATACGCTCACGATTGTAGTGAGCAACATTCGTCCACCAATCTGCCTTAGACTTGACATAACGGAGGATCATATTCTCAACAGGCACAGGTAACCCAGGGACCTTCCATGGGATATTAGCTTTCCAGCATCGCCATGCCTCACTAAGGTGCTGCAATATAGTCCGCGCTTTATTTTGCTTGATACCCTCTGCACATTAGCAGAAAATGTTAACCAAAGAATAAAGTAAAGCAATTTCATCATTGATAAACACAAGGAAAAAAAAGTTTGTAAGAATGGAAACCTGGCATAGCATCAAGGACGTCATGCATGACAGCAGCTCGAAGCTCCAAATCAAAATGGCTTTCAACTCTCTGCTTTGTGACTGTTTTGGCCACTCCTTTTGAATGACGCCCCTCAAATTGACGTGCAAGAAGATTCCCTAACCATCGCTCAAGAAGAGGAACTATTCCCCGAAGGAAAAACAACCATACCCTCCACATTGGAGCCCAAAATCCACACCCTGGACCCTTACCCACAGGACCAGTATTGAAACGATAGTATATCAAGTGCTTTAAATCCTTGCACATCCTAATCTGCCTCATCAGTCTGTATTTATAACGATACATACCCGTCAACTGGCCAACATGAGAGAAAATATATTGCAGACCGTCAGCCAATTGGAAGGCATCAACATTACCAAGTCGGAATTGGACATTTGCATCAACTACAAGTTTTGTCAGCCGCAGGATCTCACGGCAGAGATGGAAAGCGTTCCCAAAACGTGACTTCTTTCGCTCTTTGGTGGTCAAAGTTTTCACAGGCTTGAGGTTGAAGTTGTAGTCAAGATGCAGGTAGTTTAAATTCTTCCTATGAATCAACAGATTCAGCATATTATATCCCTGCCGACAGACTTGCAGACCCACTTCAACCCAATCCAGTTCGGTACTTTGGAAAAACTTGGTAGCTGCAAGAGATCGAAACAAGTGCTTCTTCTTCTGAGCTTTAGGTGGTCTATGGTGCAACTCATTCAGGACGTAGCATTTCAATAACTTTTGGTAACTGACCCGAACTTTAACCGGATAGGCAGGAGGACTGCAGTTAATGAGTTCACAAAATGTATTAGGACACTTGCTAATTTCAAAAGGGAGAGAGGATCAAAGTAGAATAAAAACATATAGCTTACCAGTGCTCCTTGAACCACTCTGACACCAAGGGAATATCTTCTGCCCGGCGAGTCCTCCCAGACCTCATATTGAAAGGTCGTGGGGCAAACAACAATGATATGCCAGCAGCTGTAGTGTCAGTGTAGAGTTGGGTATCTTTTAGCAAAGGTTCCACTCCTTCTGGTAAGGCGAAGTCATCCTCATCATCATCATCATAAACCTTCCTTTCGCGCTTGTCCTTGTTAGTGTTGCTTATTGGGTGAATTAACGGATCATAATAAAATGCAGGAAGATCAGGATCCTCGGTCTTTATATACATAACCATAGGACTGTGATACACACAGAGTTTTACTTTCCTGGGCCGGTTATTGTAGAGATGTGGAAAAGCTATTCTGTACTCGGTTCGCAGAGGGGAACGAATGATAAGCTTGTTGATGTCATTAAACTCGTTCCAGTCCTCATCCCCTTTCTCCATATCGCGGTACAAAGGTTCAAACTTAGGTCCACCTGGAAAAGAGTACCAGAATGCATTAGAAAAGCACAAAAGAAATGGACCTGCAGCGAGAGTATAAGAAGTGGAGCATAGAAGGAAAATAGCGTACCAGGGATGCACATGTTCAGAGCCTTTGCTGTGAAGAAAGATGGCATGTCAAACAAGTAGAAGTAGTTGCGATCAATCAAATCAGACAGTAACTGGCCTGCAAGCCTGTGAAGGGTTGCCATAATTGGAAGTGAGAGGTTCCACCTCCGGTAACTGGGACCATTAATCAGTTTTGTTTTAACGAGTGGCTTGTGGTCGTAAAACCAAGTGTACACAGCAGAATCTTCTTCCTCATCGAGCTCCAATTGAATTGGCTCTAGAGGATCCACGTCCAGTAAGTTGTCTGCATAGTCTAGTGGAGGCTCCTCATCATCAAATGGTGGAAACCGCATTCTCTTGAAATGACGACGATCCCTCTTCTCCCTTCGCATCATAATCCACATAGTACCCCACTGCAAAACCAGAAAGGAATACTCTCAAATATCTATTGAAAATCCATGACAAACAGAGACAAGAAAAGAGAGACAGACTAATCACCCACCTGAGCCATGTAAATAGGTTCCACAACCCATGGTATCTCGTTCACAAATGTAATAGCTCCGGTGATGTGGTACAAAACCTTCACGTCTCGGACCTGGAAGAAAATGGGAATTTAGATAAATGAAGAAACGACGAAAACGGCTGAAGCTAAAGCAGAAACCACTTAAGCTAAAATAATGAACCTGCTCCCAGGGCATAGGCATATTCTCCAAGAGCTTGAAAACTGCGTGAGGAACGAATTTAAGGGCTCCAAGGTATACACGTTTGTCGTGACGGAACTTCTTGGATGACATATCACCATGATCCCTGAAGAAAGAAAGAAATCGCAGCTTCAGTCTCAATACAAGTAAAAATCCTAAGCAAATCATAGAAATCGGGCCAGAAAATAATATTCCAGTAAACTGGAATTCGAAATCGAAGAGGAGAAAACTCGCCTGATGATCTTCCTGACGTGCTCAGGTGGCATGTCCTCCTTCTGAGTTTCGACGAATCCAAACTTCCTCTTGTCGCCGTACCGCTTGGAATTTAGCTGCATCCATTTTCGGGCCTTCTCCTCAAGCTTGGCCTCCGCCTCCTCAGGAGTAGGCTCGAGCGGAGGAGTAGGAGTAGAAGGCGGCGGAAGAGCCGTGTAAGAAGGATGAGCAGCGGGCGGTGGCGGCATCATGGAGCCGCCGGTACCAGGAGGAGCTAAGGGCATACCATCGTTGTTGTTCCACATAGCTTAGGGTTCGAAATCGAAACGCCGAGCGTAGTCGCGGAGGATAAAAACCCTAAATCCACCGCGCCAGTGTCGATCTCTAGCTACGTTGCGAAGAACTAGTGAGCTTAATCGAGTGAAGAAAAACCCTAAAACATTATCGGGTGAGTCTTTTGTTCTCGTCCGGCCTTATATCAGCAGATATGAGGAGTAAGTAAAAAAAATCAGGCGGTGTGGAACAGATGCTTAGGCGGCTTAGTAGACCGATAAACTCATCATTAATGGGCCTTTAACTATTATTGTTGGGGCCCATTGACAAACTTTTAATTTGATTTTTTTTTGTCATTTATTGAGGAGCTGAACCGGAAAACAAACTCTCCCGATTCTCTGGCTCGCTCGGCTCCCTCAACACCTGAAGAAGAGCAAAGAGAGCAGAGAATCTTGTCAGTGAAAATCTGGAAGAATCGGCAATGCGAGAGGAGCATAGTCCGGGTAGGGACGGTCGTCGAAGTGGAGGACTGAGGTCGTTGATAGAGCCACGCTTTTTGTCATCCTTTGCTTTAAACGACGGTGGTTCGATTTCTGGACGGAGATCTTCCTACCTGAAACTTCCTCCTCAGGGTCGTATCAAGCTTTCCGTCGTTAAGCTCAACGGTTCCCTTTTCGGTACGAAATACGATTTTGCTTTCCCAAATAACAATTCTAAGAGTTTAGTTTACAATCAAGTTTCTCTCTGTGATTTTCTTTACATAAATCGTCACCCTAATCGAGTTTACAATTCATTCAATCATTGTTTAAGAGCCTTAATAGACGTAATTTTGGCTTCGTTCAGCACAATCTTCCCATATCATGTTTCCAAAATAAGTATCTACCGGTGTTTCGGTTACTTCTGATATGGCTTCTCTACAAGTTAAATGGTTTCCAACGATTCAACAGATGTGGAAGTCGCAAAGGATTGCTCTGTGGCAGAGCTCAAAAGAGCTGTGGAACAAGTATTCACCATTTCTCCTCTCGAAGCTCACGGCATGATTTCATGGTCAGTGCATATGAAATTCTCACTGCTTAAGCTATCTGGTACACTCTTTCACTTTGATCTTTGCCTACAGGTCCCACGTCTGGGGTCATTTTTGCTTGTCTTATCGAGACCAGAGATTAGTCAATGACAAGACGAGCATCCGCTATCTCGCTCTCAGTGACGGGGACCAAGTTCGTATAATTCCTTCTCACTTCCATATAACAATCCTATGCACGCATTTTCTTTCCTTTGAAATTTTTAACATCCCTTTCACTCTTTTTTCAGTTACGTTTCGTAAGGCATTTGTCGATAGACCACTCTCCTATGAACAAAAGATCCAAGAGCCCGAGTTGCAAGCGCTATCTCGAGTAAGTACTTTGTAACAATCTGCCTATATCGTCTCTGCATTTCGATGCTCTGCTAAAGAAGCCTCGTATTGTAGGTTGGAAGTGGAATCCAACGTCAACGAAATCCAACTACAAAACCAAAACCACAACGGTGTGGATGATGTAGCTGACAAGTGTTATCCAGGAGCACAAGACGAGTTACCAGCAGCAGAATTCAGACTAGTTAACTTCATTAAAGGATGGTTGCCGTATGCTGGACGTTGGGGAGTGTCCAGAAAAGGACCCGATAGTCGCAGTGGTCCTTCCAGATTTTCTTTGAAGCATTTCGGTGGCAGACCCAAGATGTAAATCCGTAAGTCACAACCTCTTCCTATGTCCCCTTTTTAGTTTCCTCCTCTCTTTCAATGATTATTGGTTTATGAATTTGTTGTCTAGGATTCATTCAAAAGATCCATAGTTTTACAAATCTCATATCTATAATTTGTCTTCATGCATTATGAAAGCAGAAAGAAGGTGCATTTTCAGCCTAGAACATAGTAGTAAGAGCATCTGATTTGTAATAAAACAATAATAAATTGAGTATGTGTTGATTATGAATAATTCAGAAGTAAGATGGCAAGGTAAACCTTGCACAGGCTGAAAATGGTAACCCATACCAACCTACTGAGCCCAATAATTGGCTCACCATTTTGCTGGTCAAACCTATGTTCCACCTGAGAATCTACGAATGACCCGCCCCGCCACTAGAATGCTCATCTTCTTTTGCCTCCGTTTTATATAAAAAAAATGTCTATCGTTGTCATATTTGTATGAAGTTAACTTGTTGACAATCTGGATTCATAGGGTGCCATATGGTTCACATCTGATATAATGTTATTATTTGATTCTTCTTAGAAGGCACAATTGAACCTTCCAAGTATTTTTAGTTTTCAAGTTTGTTCAACCAATGAACTAGTGTCTCATTGGATTAATATTATATGTAAGCTGGTCAACACTTTCACAGGTTGTTAGGAGCTTGAGAATATAGTTTTCTTCTACATCTTGAGAAAGTGAAGAATACGCTCTTAGAGATTTGTCTTTGTAATTTTATAAACACTTGGAGTCTTAATTAATGATCGGATTAGTTCTTGGCCGAGTGTAAGGGTTTGTTCTTGTCTTAATAATACAGTTTTTGTTTCTTTGTATTTGCTTTCTTGGCTGGTAAAGTGAAGAAATGCAGAAACCGTGGAAGCAAGTGCAGAAGACTTTCATTCTCGGTCTATTCTGCATTCTGTGATCCACGAAGAGTATACCACTCAATAAAGTAAAGTAATCCGCTAGGCACAGCCACTGAGGTTGTTACATGTCAGGATTCTACTTTCTAAAGAAATTGGTATGACTGATGGATCTCTCTGCATGTGGGTCTAATCTAATATTGGATGTGTAATAGTCTCATTGTCCTGCTGCATGCAATGGAATGTAACATCAAAAGGTGAGAGCATAGTGCATACAGCGACTTACACAATCTGCCAACAGTAAAAACGCAAAGAAGTGGGATATTTGATTCCCAGGAGAGCACAGAGTCACATGGTCAAGTCCCTCTCTTTTTTATGTCTTTTTATATATATATATATATATGCAATCACTACCCTATATATATGGTCATCTCCCAAGATTTGATGTACGCATTCGTTTGTGTTTCGTTTTCAAACTTCATCATCTCTTACAACCACTTTTGCCTTTCTTTTTCCCCCCGTTTATGTAACCAAAGTTACTTTGATTTCGCTTAAAAATCTTTCAAGATCTTAAGAAATAAACTGACCAATTAGATGTTGTCAGTAAATAAATCATACTATCTAGGAATAGATGCAACTCGGCCACTTACGATTGTATATGATATGGTGTGTTCTTTTCTGTATTGAAGTTGGATTTGAAAGACCATAATAATTGAGTTTTGAGTGCTGTGTTGTCGTTTTATTAAGAAAGGGTAAAGAGTCTAATTGATAGAGTCATAGTGTATGTAGATGAAATCATGAAAAGCATGTATATTTGGTTCAGATCCGACTAGTGGACTGGAAAGGATAATAGTCTCATCTGATTGATTTTGATTTTGCCTCTTCATGTGTTTTCAGCTATATTTCTTTGAATCCAAAAAGCTAGTCCAGTTATGGGGGTCTTTTTTGTTTATATGATTTATTTCTTGTATCAACTTCTCTTCTTCTAAAACATTTCCTTTTGCTTATCTTCTCTGAAACGATAATCATAGGTCAGTGTAATGGTATTAAGGGGGAAAATTAAACAAACTAGTGGTTGTAAATAGAATTGGTGGTGTTATGTCTTATCTCGAACGATAAGAGTAAAAAGTAGTAGTGTAGAGCTTAAAACGACAAAAGGAATATCTTCTACACGAAATCGAAATCCAACCAAATCTACTTGTGATGAAAAAACAAAATTAATTGAATCAATATTTGGTTAGAAAACGGCATAGGTGAATGGAGTCCATCCATAACATGGAATGTGGGGGCACAAAAAAAAATATAGTAAGATATTTTTTTGATTGAAATTGGGTGTTATTCCTTATAATAAAAGTAAAGTAATGATTAGAAAATCAAACAAGAAAAGGAAGAAGAAGAAGAGAAGTGGGGGATAGTGAGTGAGCAGGCGTGCGCTTAAACAGTCGAAACAGGCACTCGTACGTTTTTATTTTATCTCTCATCAGGCCCCTCCCTCCTCTTTTACCTTCTTTTTCTGGTAAATTTAAATCCTTCTGGATACATAATGCATACACTCCATTATAATTATTTATTCTTAACATTTACACCAAATTTTCTTTTTTATATATATATATTTAAAGTTTTAGTTAAACCATTTCAAATTAGTATTGTTTGGAGGGAGATTTTTCTTCTATGATAAGTTTTGATCAGGAGCTGAAAATTATACTGATCCTCGATGCTTTACCATTTAAAACATTCATAATAGTCCACCATTATTGAATCGCATCGAGCGATATTTGAACATTGGTTCTTAATTTACATAGTAAATTCAGCCACTATGAAGCGGTCGTTACGGTATGAGCTTTAATTTGATTGTTGTTATATATCTATATATAATAATATTTGAGAAGTGTTTTTGCTGACGTGTCGGACTCTCGGCTCTTGTTGAGTCATTGATTTTACGTAATTACTTAATTATCCTTAATGAAATCTAATATATATAATAATATTTGAGAAGTGTTTTTGCTGACGTGTCGGACTCTCGGCTCTTGTTGAGTCATTGATTTTACGTAATTACTTAATTATCCTTAATGAAATCTAATTAATTTTGGAAAAATTAAATTGAATTTCGGAATTAACCAGGAAAAAATAATTTTGGAAACAATAAACATGATATCTATATATAATAATATTTGAGAAGTGTTTTTGCTGACGTGTCGGACTCTCGGCTCTTGTTGAGTCATTGATTTTACGTAATTACTTAATTACCCTTAATGAAATCTAATTAATTTTGGAAAAATTAAATTGAATTTCGGAATTAACCAGGAAAAATAATTTTGGAAACAATAAACATGATAATTAACCAAAAAAAAAAGGAACAACGAAGTACCAGTTAGGAAGCTTTAATTGAATTCATCGTGTTCTTCGTCGTGTGAATATAATTCTTCTAAACGAAGGCAAAACTTGAAATCCTAACATAAAGCATATATTCATAGCAATAACAGAGATCTAATAATTTAGTGATAGAATTTCACCTGTTGATCTGTCGAAGCAGAATAGTCAAGCTTCTCATAGTATCTTGCCCATGTTATGTCTTTAAGACGTCAATACTATCCTGCACCCTATAATTCTAACCAATGAAAAGAACAAATATTTATTACCTTGGATACAGAGTTGACGAAGAAACCTTGGATCAATACTCGACGAATCTATATATAATAATATTTGAGAAGTGTTTTTGCTGACGTGTCGGACTCTCGGCTCTTGTTGAGTCATTGATTTTACGTAATTACTTAATTACCCTTCACGTAATCTAATTAATTTTAGAAAAATTAATTGTAATTTCGGAATTAACCAGGAAAAAATAATTTTGGAAACAATAATCATGATATCTATATA